AATGCTTAAAAATGAATCAACAATGAAATTGTTTGTTTTCTGTCACAGTTGTTCTTGTTGGGTTGACATTTTCATATTTCTTGTTTTGTATGAACTTTTGTTTAAACCCCAAAGGAAACAAATCTCACAGTTTAAAGATTGAAGTTGTAAATGTTTCTCAATGTTTGCTTAAAAAATGACTAAACCAATGCATTCAAAAATAGTCATCCATCTGCAGCAGATATTTTGGAGTAATGATATTAGAGCAGCTGCAGTAGTGACAGAGCTGAGAGTCAGGTTCATTTGTACAGACAAGAGAGCCACAATATTTATTTTGTAATCAGTGGCACTAAAAATAAATCCCTCAGTGACGTAAGATTTGTGTTCACCCAGTACGAGAGTCACCGCCAGTGAGTCCAAGCTAAATATCAATTTATATAACTGCAGCCCTGGCTTTTAGAATATTAAAATTTTCATATTAATTGAAAAGTTATAAATCTTCTTAAATTAGTTCTGTGAGTTTTAAACAATGTTTCCATGGAATCTATCTATGTTTTACTCTATTTACCCTGTGTTGTTTCAGTGGTTGAGTTCATTCTGAAGAACACCATTAGGGTAAACACAGGCTTGTTAATCATTACGCATGTACAAGAAGTGCCCTTGACAGTTAACAAAGGGAACCTGTACAGCAGGAACGGTGTGCATCATACAGGACAGAACATGCACACCCTCAGCTTTTTAACAACTGTCATATTGCATTGTGTTTTTATAGTCAACCTAAATGCGTACTCTGATATAATAAGCAAGAACAATCCATTTCTTGATTGGCTTGATCTCTATTCTCGTGGTGAGACTTGGTTAACAATTGTTTGACTTGGCAGGTTGGGTTTAGGGTTGGAAACAAGGAGTGTTTGAATTATATTCAGCGTAACATTCATCACATACTGAACAGCACCTCCCTGCTTGTTTGAAAGCGTTTGAGGAATGTTGGTTCACTCCCATGCTTGTTTCCTGACTGTTATCCCTAGAAGAGCATGTCTGGATGTCTGCGTTATGATGACACGAATATAAATGCTGCAGCTGCGAACTCCACATGACCCGCTGTTAACTGCCTGCTCACTGTCACTTTTATATTTGCATTCGGTAATAGATATTCTCAGCATACCCCTGATTATTTCCCTCAATGTTGATGATTTTTAATGGGACCCACATACAGTATTATTCTACAAAATGATTTAAGAGGAATTCACCTTTACTTGGAGTGAAATAGTAAGTACCCCGCTGTGGATCAGAAGAGTTCAGGAGGAGAAAGGTTCACCATAATGGGCACCTCGTCTACAGTATTAATGGGATAGTTCACTGAAAAATGAAAATTCAGTCATTATCTATTCACCACCATGCTGATGGAGGGGGGGGGGGTAAAGTGTATGAGTCCACAAAACACTTTTAGATTTGGCTGCAACCCTGTTTACCCCTGAAACTCCTGGACTGGACTCAAACACTTCATCTACCCCTCCATCTGTATAGTGGTGAGTATATAATGAGTAAATATTGTTTTTTGGTGAACTATCTCTTTAAGGCATCTATTAATAGCAAGGTTTTAATAACACAAGCTGAAAGCATCTGCATGTAATGATGTTAATGGTTTGTGTTGGCATGGTTTTAGACAGGGCTCTCCAGAACACTCCTACCTTCCCCTTACAGACAATAAGTGCTGATGCTGTACAACACAGAGGACATAGTTGGGGGGGGGTGTGTGTGTGTGTGTGTGTGTGTGTGAACAAAGCTCTTATTGTCAGGCTTTATCTGTGGGTCGCATGATATGACCAACTGGAACAAGCCGTACACTGGTTAATGACACCTATCAGTCTCGGGTTGAATAAGACACAGCACATGAACTCAAACAGATATAAAGAGTTTGAAGTCAGAGTCAAGGAACCATGTGATATATGTTGGGTATTTATTTACAATATGTAGTTTATTACATTCATCTTTAACCCATATATCGGTTGGTGTTTTTTTTTTTGCTGATTATTTGCCAGTAAGGAAAACTTAACTTACAAAAGAGGTGTAATTAGCTTACATTTAAAAAAATGTAAGTTTATTTTCTTGAATCAAGTTCTATATATGTGGTTGTATTTGTGTTATCTTTTTATTTACAGTTTCTTATAATAAAATCTGTGGGGGTTTGATAACGACATCTTAATAATTATTCCCAGTATTTATATATTTTTAGATATATGGGCCAATATATCAGTATAAGAAATGTTTTACTCCCTTACATCTGTATCAGTATCATCCCCCAAAAAATCAGTCAGGCTCTACTCATCACACACTTAACACTCCCAGCAAAAAGGGACTGTTTATCATTTCTGCTTGATTAACAATGAATTGGTAATTAATCACAAGTGTTGTTTGATTATGTGTCAAACCGCTAATAATTGTGTCCTGCACATGTTAACTTGTATGAGTCATGTCATTTGTGTCTTGATACCAATTCACATGCTACCTGCTGCAATGTAGTAAACTGTGTGGTGGGAAAGTTTTGATCCTTTTATTAATTCTGAAGACATTTTCTGTGATTTTGCAAAACTTTCACATCAACCACCTGTTTATTTATTTTTTTCTCTCTGCAGTTGGTTCAAGCTGGTGGACAAGTCTGGAAAAGAGGATAAAGTGCGAGGGGAAGTGCTGCTAGATATACAGTTTATGAGAAACAACATGTCGGCCAGCATGTTTGACCTTTCTATGCAAGACAAACCACGCTCACGCATTTCCAAGCTGAAGGACAAAGTCCGTGGAAAGAAGAAGGACGGCTTCTCTGACTCTGCCTCAGCCATTGTTCCCTCCGTCAGCCAGGTCCTTACTGACAGTGACGGAGAGGCTGATGCTCAGTCACTCAATCAGTCTTCAGGAGTGAAAAAGAAATCAAAGCTCAAATCCCTCTTTGCACCTAAATCAAACTTGCAGCGGAACATTTCACAGTCCATGTCTACACTGGGGACTCTTCCTGAGAGGAACTCATCTCTTAGTGGCAGTCGCTCATCTGGCCTCAATGTAGACTCAACTGAAGGTAATATAACCTTTCTCTACTGTGTGTGCTCTGTCTGTGGATATTTCTGTCTTTCTTCTGCTGCAGTGCAAGTTATGTAAGTTTTGTGGTTTTGCATTTCAACCATGACATCAGGCTTCTCTGTTTTTCTTCCCACAGTGAAGAAGAAATTCAAATTCCTGGGACACAAGCGAACAGGCAGCTCTGACAGCAAGGTGTCTCAGGGTCCTTTCTCCCTACTGGGTCGCTCCAAGCAGAGCAACAGTGACCAGAACAACCTTTGCATCAACGGCAGTCATGTGTACGCAGAGGAGACGGAGCCAAAAAGTGGATCTACACTCAGTCTGAACAGCTCAGGCCAAGGCTCTGCGGAGGATGTCCACAAACTCACCTCTGATGCCTCTGCAAGTTCCTTCGGAAATGTACCTGACCCCACCCCCACCTCCAGACATGAATCAACAGACAGAGCTATATTGGAACAACGACGCCACCAAGAGGAGGAAGAGAGACGGCAGGGAGAAGAGAGGCACATAGCAGAAGCAAAGAGGGCGGAGGAAGAGGAGAAATACAGGGCAGAGGCCAGGAGACTGAAGGAGGAAGAGGAGCGCAGATATCAAGAGGAACAGGAGAGGAAGAGAAGATTCCTTGAGGATGAAGAGAGGAGGAGGAAACAGAGGGAGGAGGAGGAGGAAGAGAAAAGAAAGCAAGCGGAAGAGCATAGGATGCGACAAGCAGCGGAGAATCAGAGGCTTGAGGAGGAGCGTCGTAAGTCAGAGGAGCAGAAACAACAGGAGGAGGCCTCCATGAGTGACAGGCTGTCAACTCTGTTCGGAATGATCAGAAAGAAGGAGGAGAAAAAAGAGGAGGTGGAGCAGCAAACTAAAGAGGAGTTGCCTGAAACAGCCCCTCGCAGTAACTCAAGCAATCTTGATCAACCGATCTCCCACCGCTCCACTAACCCATTTGAAGACATTCCTCTCAGCTCAGATCCTCCAGTCAGCAGTAATGAAAGTCCAACTGATCAGCAGAAATCCAGCCGCAATCCTCAAACCCCCTCTGCAATGCTCTTCCTCAACCGCAATGCAAAAGTGTCTGCAGTCAAACCCAGGTATGCTTTATTTTCATATTGTTGCATTATATGCTCATAAAAAAGTGCTGTCGTGATTATTTCATTCTTGGGATGCTGGGTACGCTATTGTTTCACTATTCTTAGACTTGTGTGACTGGAGTACCTGCACATACTGATGCTTTTTAAGTAGTATGTGCATCATAAAGAAGCGTTGTTTTTGTTCTCTTCTCTGTTATCTAGTCAGCACTAAGACGTTTCATTTTTGTGCGAACTATACCTTTAAGTGATCCCAAATAGTGCTCAGTGCTCTGATTATTAAGTTTCTTCCTGCACCATGATGTCAGCAGTGAAACTTCCACTACACTCCGCCCTTTTTTTGTTCCTGGTGCCTCAACCCTGTCAGTGTCTTGAATAACCAAAGCTTTGAATTCCATCCTGTAGTTGACAGACTTGTTTAACCAGTTTGGTCTCAGCACAGAGGAGAACTTGGGTGTGGCTTGAGCGTGTGAAGATGTTGTGGAGCAGCTTGTGAACTCTTCATAAGGAGTGACGCAGCCATAGTGTGACTTTCTGGTGATCGGATTTTACTTTTAATGGGATCTTTTTAAACTTTCTTGTGGACTGGATTGTATTTTTAAATTTTGGAAAGGTGATGGTAAGAAACTCGTACCTGCTGTTGTCATGGTTATTACAGTGGTCCTCATTTTCAAGGAAGTTTGCTCGATGGCAGATTAATTGTATTTAGTTGTGTTGTATATTTTCTTACATTTTGATGCCATGTTGGATTATCTAGCATGATCAAAGTTTCATAATCTTACAGCAGAAATGTCAAATTGTGCTTAACATATCGGACAGCTAAAAATAGAAAGAGGACCTCCAAGATGTGAATATCAATGTAGTCTGTAGTTTGGCTGTTAACACTGAACAGTGCAGCATTTTATGTGAGTTTGTTATATTTAAGAGACATTTCTTAACTGTGATTTCAAGTTTGTTATCACAGATGAAATATTCTCAGTTTAATAAGATCTAAGTTAGTCATGAAGTGAGTTGATTTTTAAGCGCTAAATTATATGCATTTGTAAATGGCAATCAAATTGTTTTTATTGACTTACTTCTAGACATGTGAGATTCAAGTTAAATTGGTGATGGGTTGTTCATTGGTGGAAGTGACTTCAGATAATGTGATGGTCACACTGACCCGTAGGCCTTTGTTTTCACTCCTTGGCAGATTGTCTCAAATTCTGGAGTCTGAACCCCCTGACTGCCAAACCCCCAGTCAGCTGTGTCCTTCCCCAGCCGCCTCTGAGTCCACCCTCTCTAGTGTTCCGTCTGAGTCCCCTGATAGTTTCTCCAACTTCCACTCATCCTTGGCTCCACCAAACGTAAGGAAAAGCCTGTCTGGTTCCCCTCGTGGGAGCACAGAGGATTTGTCATCTGTGGAATCCGAAGGAGCTTCACCCACCATGTCGGAGAAGAAGAATAAAGCCCCCTTGCCACCTATGTATCATCTACATGGGAACCAAACAGGAGGAAATAACATTTCTGTCAGAGAGATGAGAAGTCCTTCAGATGTAGAGGCAGACGGATCGCAACAAGGCAAAAAAATATCTATACCACTTCCTGATTATGAATCCCTTTTCCCACAGAAGAGGCACGGAGTACAAGGGCAAACTCGATGGGATCATATTATCGCTGAAGTCAATCAGAGACAAAGGGACACTGCACCTGAACTTCTGGGTCCAGAGATGAGTGTGGATGGCCCAGGGGAGCATGAACCGAGTCCTAGGTCGTTCACATCGCCAGAGAGTCCTGCCATGAGGGATTATCAAACACAACCTGAGACCAAACCTGTGTCAATAAAAAAGGCTCCTGCCCCAGCTCCCCCTAAATCAGTCTTATCTCCTCAATCAATCAGTCAAAACCAGTACACTGCCCACCAGTCTGGCATGAGACCTAATCCGTCTGCAATGCCAGGATCTAGAAACACTGACTTCTCAAGCAGAGAAAGTCTCTCTGGGATGTCCAGTGAAGGAGCGAGGAAGGCGTTGCAGCCATCACCTGCAGCTATACTTAGACCAAGTATCCAAATGGATACAAGTTCACCAGAAGATCAGCGGAAAGATGCACCCACAGCTAAACCCAGACAGAGGGCCAGTGGCAAAGAGCCAACCCAGAAAGAAGTTTCTGCTGCAGACCAAAATAAGAACATTAATGCCCAAACATTATTTAGTCAGAGTGTGAAAAGCATGGACAAAAAGAGCGGGCAGGCAAAGGAAAACTTGGTAGAGTTTGACCCGTTCCCCAGCAATGAGCTTATTTTCAGAGAGCCGCAGGCACAGAGGAACCTTTTTACTGGCAACATCCAGAAACAACAGAAACCTGAAAATCAGGGAATGACAGCCGATGATCTTGATAACATTTTTAGTCAAGATAAGCCAACAGATTCCTTTGTTCGTTCTAGTGGCAGCGATTCAAACAACCACAGTCAAAAAAGGACAGATTATGACTCAGAGCAAGCCAGCTTTCATGCTTTCCAAAGAAAGAATTCACAGAGACGGAGTCTCAAATCAAAAACTCCCCTGGATGAAAAAGGTCCTGAGTCTCAAAAAGAACCAGCATCTAAAGAAGGAACAACCAAAACGGCAGCTAAGCAAGACCTCGTCACAAACGATGTCAGGAAGGAGCCTGTCGCACTTCAGCCTCAAGCTGATGTGAGGACACAGAGCAGTTTATACAGAGCAGAGGATCAGTTTGGAGCTGACCCTTTTGCTGCTCCCTCTGCTTTGACTTCCTCTGAGCCCCTCCATGTTATTATGGAGGAACCAGGGGCTTTGTCTGGGGGAAAGACATTTTTGCAATCGTGGGTTTCACCGTCTGATGTTCAGTCTGTCAGTGCTCAGAATAGCAATGGAGGTGGGCAAGCCTTAACGGCACGCAGGTGAGATTGAAGAGGCTCCTTACAAAGAATACATTTTTGGACTGTTTACTTAGATTTGCACATGGCTGCTGTTGTTTTATTGGGAGGCAGATAAGGTATTAGGATTAGGATTTACTTTGGGAGTGACTGCTTTGAAAGCTTGTGATTTCTTGGCTTCCATTCCTCATTTTGGGTTGAATTCTGAAAAGTGCACATGGATCAGAGTGAAATGATTTGCAAAACACTAGAGGAAATTGTGAATGTGAAATTGTGATCTCTCTCTGTGCTTTATGATAATGTATGTGCTTTCTTTACAGGCCTCATCCCGTGAAGCCCCTGACCTCAGTTGAGAGCCAGCATGCCACCAGCGCCCAAACTGTGAAGGAAATAAAGGTCCGGGACGGTACACCGGGGAAGATTAAGGTACTGTCATGACATAAATAACACACTGGGATCTGAAATGTCACCTCAAAGCAAGTTATCAATCAGGTTGTCCTGAAGTAAGAATGCATTGAATAAAATCTCGTTTCACAGTGTGACATAATCTACTTACGTATTTACCTTTTTTGAGGTAATTCTGAGAACTCCTCATAGAATTTAAACTTTAACATAATGACAAAATGTCAGTTGCAGTTAACAGCCTTAATCCTGCCCCTGGAACTTGAAGTTTGAACCAAATTCATGATGAAAAGTCTCCTTATTATGTGTTGGAGGTTTTCACAGTTGCTCATAAGATGATTTGGCTGAAATCTACAGAAAAGTCAAGTAAACTTGTAACAATTCTTTTTTTAAATCTCCGTTGAAACATTCTTGAGCCTATTCTCTCTGGGGATAAACCAAAGAGCTAATTACAGTTCAACTGAATCAATAAATAGTTATATTAACTGTATTGACCTTTGTTGCGTCCCTCAGGTGGCAGGCCCGGGTGAAAGTGGACCTTACACTCAGCTCACCCAGGGGGAGTTGATCACACTGGTAGTGAAGCAGCAAACGGACCTGTCCAAGAAGGACGCTAAAATCGTGGAGCTGGAAGAGTACATTGATAACCTGGTGCTCCGCGTCATCGAGGAGAAGCCTAGTATCCTGCAAGCCTTAAACGCCAACAAGCCAGTGTAAGGTCGTGGCTGCTGGAACGACAGAGTCCCACTCGGGTACCCAGTTTTGTTTTTCTTGTGTGAGTACGACTGTTGTCACTGTGTCATCATGTTCTCTCAGTGCACATTGTCACTGTGGCACACGGTCTCCATGAAGGTCTTAGAGCATATGCACTTTCTTTAATTTTCAGAGTCTGATGAATTTTCAGAATGCTGGAAAATATCTCTGAACTAATAATTACTTTATAACAAGCAAGTAAACATCTTTATAAAAGTAGATGAATGTATTTGTTTTGACACTAAGGTACTGGAATTTGCTTTTGATTGTTACAATAAAATATTTTCAGAATATTGATTTATATATCATACTTGATTGAAACTTGGGTTGAGCATTATTTAGTATACTCTTCACACTGGGCTTTGTGTAACTTTTGTGTGATGCATGACCATATACACAACCACATACGACCATTCCAAATACATGCTCCATATTCTTTAGGTAAGAATGTATTAGTATTGTCTAATCTCTAATGTCTCTAAATATATTTCCAGTACATTTACTCAGCATTCCTGCAAATAATATGAATTCTGCCCTCATCAGCTAAATATTAAGATTATGTAAAAAAACAAGTGCCCATTTCTTTCTTTTGCCTCCTTCACCTAAGTCTTATTTTACTGTGTTTGTGAGTCCATTTTGCAGCCATGTATTTTTAACCAGACAATTCAACATTCCTCACCTGTTTCACTCACCACAGTTGAATGTCAGCTGGTCTTCCAGTCCTTAAACAGTTATTGTGCCTACACTTTTGCTTCAAAGAGGTTTTTATTAAGAAAACCAGCAATCAATAAAAGCAACCAGCTACCAAAAACTGTACAGCCTTTGAATAACACGTTTTTTTCACTCTTCTTTATGTGGTTGTAATCTAGCCGGTGCACATGGTGAAAAATAAAATATTATGCAAGAAATTTTACAGAATTAAATTTCTTTAATAATAATGTAAGATTTTGATCATTATGATATTTGTGTTGTATTTATATAAAAGAAACGATTAAAACCTTATTATCAGGGGAACCGTCACAGACTCAGAGTCTGTAATAACCAGCCAGGTCTTTGTATTTAAATTACTCTCATGAATGAAAACCTACATCTATGCCTTCACATTACGATCCTCTTTGATGTCTTGGCAAATAAAGCAATATTACATTTTCAGAATGTACAAAGCTGTGCCTTCAAAAAATGTTTCATGACTTTTATGTTTGCTGGGCGGAGAGTCGTTGGCTCCCTCTATTATTTTACTGTGGCTAGAACGTCAGCAATGTGCAGAATGTACAGCTCGATATTTCTTGATGTTTGTCCGACATGAAAGTAATCATTCAGTCCATGTCAAACTTCTCGAAGGAGCGATGCTGATTTAAAATTTAAATAGAGACACTAATTATTTCACCAGACTGTTGTATTTGAGATTGCTTAGAATTATTTCATGTACATTTTCAAAGAAACAAATTAAATGAAATGTATTTTCCCATTACCTGTCCATTCAGATTATTTTCAGTTCTGATTTTGTGTTAAAAAGTTGATCAAGCTTCCTGTATACAAATTTACAAAAATAAAAGTTTTTGAAAGGGAAATAAAAATTCAAGACTGTATATTTGTGACTATGGGTTACGTTTGGGGAGGGATAGTTATCATCAACAGATTCCAGTTTAAAAAGACAAAACCACACTGAATTGATCCATAAAGACTGATGTACTGTAGTTTATTACTCAGTGCCACAGACCTCCATTCTTATCCAACAAGCTAGTGCTTAAGCACCAAATCCACAGCTGGAAATAGTCCCAGACAAATTCACAATTTACTCAGTGTGTGATGTTTACATAAAACTACCGGGTAATTAAAAAAAAAAGATCTTGTCTTAATTAGAAAATGAGATAATATATTTGAGGACCCATTTTAAAAGTATCTTGTCTTAATTAGTAATGAATGGGCTTGATGATGAGACCAACAGGAAGGCCTGGGAACTCTGAGAGAGGAATTAATGCACTGTTGCTCCAGGTCTTTTCATGAGATCTGTCATAAGAATGCAGAATTTAAACTTTTTTAAATCTTGTTTAAAATCTTGTTTTTTGTGGTCCAAACACAAACTAAATCATAAAACAAAATTTCTACAATAAACCTCATGTTAAAGACACTATTTTAGAAAATAGGGAAGTTAATTCTTAGTTTACGAAAAGCATGCTACTGTATAGGATTGCATTTGTTTTTAAAGACACATGGCAGTTGACTGTTGGGGTTTAAAGTGGAACTCCACTAATTTGACATAATCTGTAGTGTACTATTCACTGTTTACAGGTCTCCAGCAGAACAACTGCATTTGTTTAAAGCCCAGAAAAAGAAAAACCCAGAATATTATAAGTTGCCTGGAGTGATCTCACTTGAGTCAATGTGTCTGAAGAATGTTGTGAGCATTACAAACAGCTGTAACCTACTGCCCCTATCTCTAAATCTTGATCTGAACAGTCACAGTAAGGAGACTGCATATAGACTGTAGGCTATATAAAGATGGATGACTTCCCACCATCCAGATATGAAGCCATATTTCCTGGATGTGAATGTATCGTACGCATTTGGAGTGAGTGTAGTAGCGATCGGTGGATGGAGCCACACCGATAAACACGCTTGACCAATCCAGTCAATCTCAGCTCTCAATCATGACTTTCAACCACTTTTAATAACAATAAATAACAAATGAAATACAAACTTACTGGAAATATTTACACTGGAACAAACATCAATGTGACTAGATTTACCTAAAATGACAGAAACCATCGTAGAGAAACCTTTCTTTGTACTTTTTCAGTTTTGACCATGTCCCGTCCTCTTACATGGAGGAGGCGGAGATAATAACCTATACTGCAGCCAACCACCAGATGGCGATCAATATGTTTTGGTTTCCCTTTTGGCAGCTATCATTTTGTCCATCTTTGTATTCAGCAAACAACAGAACCAGATTTAGTGTGGATGGTTTGAGAATCTTCCTCATATCTAATCCTGTCATTTTGCATGTTTCCAGAAACACAATGAGTGAAGTCTGTCCAAAGAAGAAAAGACTTAAACAACAAGCTGCCCGGAACACAGGAGCTTTACAAAACCACGCTGGCTGTGGCACAGTTATTGGCCGAGATGCCGATGCGACGGCGACACGTGAACATTTTGCGGAGCTCTGCGCGGAAGCGGTCGTGCAGCCATGCGTAGAGGAAAGGGTTACAGCAGGAGGAGCTCATTGCGCACAGGTGGCAGAGCAGCTGAATGAGCAGAAAGTACCTCTTATCAATCAAGTCAATGTCAATGTCACGCAGGACGTTGAAGACACTGATGGGCATCCAGCAAATGCCGAACGCTGCCACCACCAGGCTCACCAGGCGGAAGGTCTTGCGTTTGCGCATGCGCTGGGCCTCAGCCTGGCTCTGGGTGTGGTGGCCGGGTATGACACAGTTCCGAAGCTTGACGGAGATGCACAGGTAAGAGATGCAGAGCGCAGAGAGAGGCAGGACGTAGGTGATGAACAGGGTGCTGTACGCGTAGGCCAGCCGCTCCCGCTCCTGGCCCATCCAGAACTCCTCGCAGATGGTGAAGCCCTCGTTCTTGAACTCCACGTGGTAGGTGTGAGCCACAGCTGGAGCCACCAGACTGCAGGACAGCAGCCAGATTCCAGACAGGAGGTAGGTGCACGCCAACACCGAGATGCGTTTTTTCAGAGGGTGCACTGTGGCGTAGTATCTGCAAAGAAAGAAGAGGAGGAGAGTGGGATTAGATGAGATCTGTCCTGTCTAAATGTGTGTGTGTGGGGGGGATCATGCCAGGTTATTCAATTTCAAAGAATAACATGCAAATGACAGTGCAGTGTTTGTAGCACCACAGATAATAACAGCCTTGTGTAGCTTAGAAAAAGAAAAATGTTTTATCTTCACAAATATCACCATTCACATCCGCTGCTGTTTTCATGGTCAGCATATGAGGCTGGATTTGTTCCTGCTTGATGCAAAGAGCAATGGGGAAAATGTACAGTCTTTAGTATTCAATGTTCAGTGTTCAGTGTTCAAGAGATGTACTTGTAAAAAGACTCAAAGGAGGGATTCTAGCTGTAGCTGCTGTAGTGTGAGCAGCCATGAAAGAAACATTACAACCTCTTTACAAATGAAGCCTAAATAGTGAACACATGATTAAAACTCAATAAAAGCAGCACAGTGCAAAAAATCCATTAAATATTCAGAATGTTTTGGATGAAATATTGAGCAGAGAGCTGCTAATGTGTGCACCTGCAACTGTGTGAAGTGCCTGTGACCTACAGGATTCTTTTGTTTTTTAACATATTCTTCTCAATAAATTAGTCAAGGCACGTTTACAAAATGTATCCTGGTATCAATTTTCTTCAAGTAAAAAATGTGAAAAGGTTCCATTTGACCTCTAGATGACAGCAGGGTTTAGAGTTCTTGAGCTCAGAGAGAAAAACACTTCAAGGTCTGTTGTCATTGAAACAACTCAACATTGCTTCTCAATCAAAAACCACAATACACTCCATGACTCGTGTTACATTATTCAAGGGATTATTTTAATTATCATTGCCCACTATGATTATATATGCCTGTAATGTCTCCGCTCAATTCTTTTCAGAGCTGGTATGAAAGCATCCACTATCCAGGTGCTTACATTTGCATCTGCAATTTGAGGCAATTTTCTTCAAGAGAGGCATGATGCACCTTTTTTCAAGGAGTTTGTAGAAAGGTGACTAAGTGGGTTTGGATGAAAAACCAAAGAATTTGTTTTGCCTTTTGCTCTTCTGATGAGGCATCAGTGAGAGATACATGCATGCAAACAACCGTGCTTATTTTTATTGTCTGTCCAGAGTCACCTGGTTTATTGTGACATACCTGTCCACACCGATGGCTGTGAGAGTGAAGACTGACACGTACACCGTCACAGGCTGGATGAGGTAGACCAGGTAGCACATGAAGCGCCCGAACACCCAGCCGTGTGGGTTGAAGGCGTACGCCAGCGTGAAGGGGACGCACGTGGCACACATCAGCATGTCGGAGAAGGCCAGGTTCCCAATGAAAAAGTTGGTGACATTGTGCATCTTGCGGGTGCAGCAGATGACGTAGAGGAGAAGGTAGTTGCCAAACACGCCCACCAGGGCCACCAGAGTGTAGCAGGGGATGATGAGCGGCTTGAAGGACTGCAGCAGCTCAACGCCCACAAACTGGGGACTGCGCTTGGAGGAGCTGTTGTGCAGCGCCACCTCAAAGACCTGGCCGCTGTCATTCCCATTCACATCATGCAGCATCATGCATGGGGGGGTGAGCTCAGCTACCCAGCCGCTGCCTGTGCCCTCCATCCCAGAAGACTGATGAAGACCTGAAGGTGTGAAATCATCATTGCAATACAGTGTGTGCTCGCAGCAATATGCACAATGAAGTATGAAGCACTGCACATGTTTAGTCCATCAAACATCAGTGCACAGATGGACTGTTTCTCTTCCTAAGAACACATGCGAAACATGTACAGTCTCAATAGGGAACACACGAAGGACAATCTGAACAAATCCAAATCTAGTATTAAGTATTTCTAAAGATTTGTCCAATGAGAAAATAATTTCAAATAGTCTGCAATGATGGAGAATTGGTGCATGTTTGCATAATTTCCATCTTTTTCTTTTCAGCTGAAATATTTTCTGCTGATATGCTGAGAGAAATGAACACTCTTTGTGCACAATTAATAGATAGAAATGTTCCATTTTATAATTTTACAACCACATGAAACTGCAGATAAACTGCTCAGTTTAATGAGGCTCTTCTTCTATCCATTTATAATTCACATGGTTGCATGAAGCTTCAAAGAGAGATGCACTGTATAATAGTAACTGTCTTTTGTCACAGTATCACAATGTGTCCCTTCAATAATGTCAGTGGAGTTACAGTGATGTGGCGTGTGCACATGGAGCACAGCAGGTGTTGGTTTCAATTCACATCCACTTAAAAAACATTAAACCCAGCAGGTGGAACTTAAAGGGTGCGTCACAGTGACGTAACAGTGAAATAAAGTCACTCAGCAGTGACACATTAGAATTTCCTGTCCAGATCTTCTAATAATACTACTCAAAATAAGAAACATTCAGGAAATTTGACCACAGATAAAATTCAAATGTCGTCACTGAAATCCCCCTCAGTCATGACTCTGTCTGCACAGGGTAATCAGCAGCAGGTTTTACTGTGAACCGAAGACACAGTATCTATATAGGGCTATTGTATATTAACACCTCTGTATCCCTTCTGCAAACAAGACTAAAAGAATATCAACATAGTGGCAGTAATATTGAGATATTTAGTTCAACACACATCACTGTATGATACTATAAATATTTACTGTCTCTCTACAACTTTAGATTCCATGCAGTTGATAGGAAACTGTACAGCCCCTATGGAACATACAGGACAACCATGAACAAATCCAAATCTTTTAAATTCAAGCTAAAAAAAACGTGATTTAAGAGATGTATAAATAGAAAAAAAAATTGTTTGCGCAACAGTCCATCCATCTTTATCTTTTCAAGTCAAAATAAT